ACTACAGTGTTGTGTCTAACTGTAGATACTAAATTTCTGAACTGAAATAGAAACAAGGATTCCATGAATTTAAGTAAGAATAGTGCTTTTATTTAATGATCAAAACCAGAAAGAAAACAAATAGGGATAAAATTGATGAATAGACTTGATCGGATATGATTACTCTGTCCTTTTAAGACTAAGGAGGTTCCTGATTTTGAGAGATCTGCTGATGGGAAACATTTTGAGTTGAGCTATTATTTGTGCTGTATGTCATCAAAAGATATTCTAATATGCTTTTTTGGCACTAATCTAAAAATCTGGGGTTTAGCCTCAAGGTTTCCAAGTATATAAAATTTGTTTCATGTTAAATTCTCAAGTTATTTCCATTCTCTGAAAAATGAAGAGTTGATCCTTAGCAGACTAGATAGGCTGCTGGTGTCAACAGTTTGCAATCTCAGCATTATTGTAGCTTTTTAATTTGCTTTAACCAATATTGCTATTTTAAAACTTGTATGGCAAATAGAATAGCTATCAAACAACAATCTGCTAAGTAATTATAATTGTTATGCAGCTTACTGTCTTAGTGGATTATTTCTAGACTTCCTAACTGTCTGGTGGAGAAAATTCATTTTAGCCCATTACAAAGCATATTATCTGAAGGATGTGCAATACAGGAAAAGAACATTATGTGTATGTAGCACTCTTGATTATTTTTATTGTTTTGCTAAAGAGTTAACTAGGAAGAAAAAAAAAAAAATTGATTCTGTATCCCAGACTGTGTGCTTTTAACCACGTAATTCTCTCTTGGGTGTTTTTAGACCCTCACTAAAGCAAACAAAACCTGTGGACACAGAGTTTAATTGAAAGAGACAATGAAGACCTGCACCTGTGAACTGGTGTTTAAAGAAAATGATGTCAAAGGCCTTAGTCTTTAGCCAGTGTAGTTGCTCATACAGAGCAACAAGGGAGAAGTATCCTTTCCAGTGCAAGGTTAGGTGGCTTAGCCTACATCTGCTCATTTGTGCTAACATGCCAGACTTTGCACTGAAATAACTGATGACTGTTCACAAGTTTGGTTTAACCTGCTGTGCACTAACGATCTCTGATGTAGAGCTATATATCTTTAAACAGCCACAGGCATTTGCAAAGTGAACATATGGCTGCTTTCTAAACATGTGGATGGAGTTTGTTAGTTATATTTTGAATGTCCTTATATGTTGGGTGTCCCAGGGTGTCACAAACAGAGCACTGTATTTAAAAAGTTTTTTAAATCTAGATTTTTTTTGTGTGTTTTATCAATATTTTCCATATTTTTCCAGGATAGTCTATAATAAGTGTAGACTCTTAGATTTATAATATTCTCAGATTCATATTTTCATTTTTCAATGCATTGACCTTTAATGTAACAACATGTGAGATAAATGTTTAATAATTATGCCTTTGCGCAACAGCAGTCAAGAGGAGATAAGTTGTGCATGACTTCAAAAATGCTTAGGTGCCTGTAGAATAGAAATCGGTATCATGGCTCACAAAAAGCTTAAGATTAAAAAAATTTACTACTGTTGCTCTGTACTGACTTGACAGTTACTGTATTTCTAACATTTTTGGCTGTAAGTGCTAAGGTTTGGATGGGAAAAAAAGATCTTAGAACCTGCATTTTAAATTACATTAATCCTAATCAAGGATAAAAATCCTTGTGGTTTTTCAAATGCTGTTTTCCAACAAAAGTAATTTTAATGTCTGGCTTAACAATGTATTTTTCCCCTTCAGGAAAGAGCTATCCAATGTGAATTTGTTAACAGCATAGGACTTCTATCCAGACCTTTTTAACCAGAATCTGCAGAAGATATTAGGGTGTGGGTTTTTTCATCACCTCCAAATGATGAAAACACTGAAGTCTGGACTTGTTTTTTAATACTTGCTTTTCATGTTCTGGAAAAGCCAGATGTGTAGGTCAGTATTCCCAGGGTTCCACCTGCTTCATCTCCCTTGACTTTGTGATACATTCAAAATTGTAAATTGCTGGTATCTGGTTGAGGTAGGTCCCACCTGTCCATGGGATATGCAAAATTTGTTCACGTCTGGATTCCTGCTTAAGAAGGCCCAGCTTCTAGCTGGCATGGATGATCGAAGTCCTGTTGCTGGCAAGGAGGGGGAAAGATGTCAGGTACTCTTGAAAATACTGCTAGAGACATTAATACTTCACCAAGCATTTCAACATTGTTAGAGGTGATAAAAGTGGGCGTTAGTGTTCTGTGTTCCCAACCCATATAGATTATCCTAGAGAGATCAATATGCTGTTTATATGTATGAGCAAGAGTGAGACTGCTCTAGTGCAGCTGGCCACAGGGGAGACCAGAAGCCTGAGAAGACCTATAGCTTGTGCTGACATAAATGTCTGTCTCTTGCTTTTAACTTCTTGGTATGGACAGGAATAGTGAGAGCTGGGAGGGTCGACTTTCCACTTGGAAGGTATCTGTATGCAGGCATGCAACAGCTTATGCAAGCTGTTGAAGTGTATGGCTGGTGTAATATGTTACTGTTGGAAGAAGTAGGTCTTGTAAATACAGAAATCCTGTAAAACCTTGTGAACAGTGAACAGTACCAAAGGTCACTGCCTATCTACAAAAACACACTTGCATGCAGAAACTGTGTTTATGCATGACAAAAGCTAACAGGTATCCTGCAGCTGCACCCCTCAAAGGACCGTCATTACCACCTCTGCTTTGCTTCCTCTGTAGTGCCAATCAAAAAATTGGGCTTGGTTTCAAGTAATACTTTTGGGCAAGAACTATTTTTAACTGATTCCGTATCAGTGGTCCAGCTAAGAGTCAAGTGAGTGATAGTGTTGGCATGGTGATTGGTGGGTAGTGATTGAGGAAGAATACTCCTTAATAAAGTACTGTTGTTTAGGAAATGGTATATGGAAATGGATGTTGAATACCAGTAATAATATCTTCACTTTAAGGGTTTAATAATTGTCTCTTACCTTTCTGAATATTGCTAAGTACAGTTGTTTGAATACATATACGCAGCCATGTTTGAGTCTATATATGGCAGCCACAGGGGGGGGACCAAAAAAAAACCTTTAAGCATCTCTGATGTTATATCATCGATTTCAGATGTCTTTTATGTTTCAGGAAGGTCTGAATTTGACATGCCTTATGAAAAGCTCCCTACTTATTTTGTAATCAGGCTTATGAGTTTGTATAAAAAATACCAAACAAAAAAAAAAACCCAGCCAAAATAACAAAGAAAGAAACCCGACCCAACAACAACAAAAAACCCCAAACAACAAAAAAAAAACAAGAAAACAAAAAACCCCACAAAAACCAAAAACAAATTAAACCCCCACCCCCCCCCAAAGGCACAATTTAGATCGTAAAGCTCTTCTAATGGCGTTATATTGATTCCTGAAAATTGCCATAATTTTAACCTCTTTTTGGTTTAACATAGGTTTATTACTGTTTGCTCTCAAGCACTGACTTCAGTGTGATTAAAGTGGAAGGTCTAATTTCTGAATTCCAGTCCCAGAAAGCAAAAAGTCCCACTGTTATTTAGCTGTACTGACTGAATTTGGAACATGCTTCTAAACTGTTACCGCTATGTATTTTCTTACTTGGAGCAGCAGTCAGAGCTGTAGATGTCAGTGGTCTAGTCTGCAAGAATCATATAAGGATAAGAAGATAGGGAGATAATTTCAAAAGTGCTTATTGGTTTGAAATTATAAAGCCATGTTACAAACTACTTTGCTTCAGTGTTATTGTCACTGGCAGTTCAACTCAGTTTGTCAAATTACTCTGCTGCCGCAGAGACTGCAAATTGGTGTCTTCTTTCTGGCATGAGTCTTCTTTTCCCCATCCGCTTCATTTTGCAATGCTTTACTCACATTTCAAGCTTTATCTTTAAAAGAAACTATTTGCAAAAAATTTGAAAATACTCATGTAGATCAGGTAGGTTTTGTATATAATAAAATGTTCTAATGTTTATCTACTGATCTTGTCACTGATCTAGTCTAATACTGCAACCTTCCTCCCGCCCTCCTCGAGATCTCCAATTAGCATATTTTAGGTGAAGTCATGCAGTGTAACTTCCAAAGCATGAAGTGTTCCTAGGTTGATGGACGGCTGGCTTAATGATCTTGATTCTTGACTGTGGGAAAAGCCTTAAATGGTGTAGGTGTAATGTAGATAAAACTCTGGGATGAACTACCTAAATTGAAAACCTTATCCTCTATGGACTTCGGCAAGAACCTCTCCACCATCTTAATTTTCCTTGAATTCAAGGCCTGTGTCAGAGGGCTCTTCTATCTTAGAAGAATGTCTCATACTGGAGTTGATGTGACTGTGTCCTTTAACACTGCTCCTTTTTCCTTGTCTCATGGGCTAGCAATGTTGCTCTGTATTACATTCTTTTAATTTGTTGCAAAAATCTAGAATGATAAAATAGGCAAAAAGGAAAAAAAAATCTGGAAAGACCATATGAAATATTTCTCATGAAATACGATACAGTGTTATTCAGTTGTAAAATTAGATCATATTGCAACATTTGTTAATTGGGTCATATATCTCATGCCAAGTTTCAGATCATGGGTAGTATTTGATAAAATGATAACAGAACTTGAAAAACTAGTTTTTATGTTTAAAAGCAATGCACGTCTCAAAACTTTTGACAATCAGAACCAAATTGTTGCAGGTTAGTAGGTTTAAGCACACTTTGATGAGGAAGATATTTTGCTTTTTATTATTCTTAGTATAGATTAGTTTGATTTTTAAGTCTTTGTAGACAAGTTTCTGTAAATCAGCACCTTTACTGCAAGTCAAAATTGAAATACATGCAGCCATTTTCTTCTGTAGTCAAAAAAGGCACACTGAGTTTTACTGTTATAGCAGATACTACGCAGTAGGACTCTTCAATCAGTCTGGATTGTGGATTCATGAAAATAAAAAGAAGGATTCATTAGGCCACCTCTCAGAACTGTAAAATGAAATTCATTTATGGTTTATGTGTCTCTTTAGATCTCATAAATGGAGCCCAAGAACAGTGTGAATTGCCTCCTATGGATGGTTTTCCTCACTGTGAAGGGAAAATAAAGGTAAGTGAACTAGTTTTAATCTTATTCTGTGTGTTTTTCTAAAATCTGTACCTATGTTGCAAGAGGTTAGTGTTCCGACAATGGTGTAAAACAAGAACAACTTTGTCAAAAAGGGAATGTTTAGGAGTATCACTACAGTATTACTTACCTCAGGCCTCTGATACTACTGCTGCAGAGAAGTGGCATCCTATTAAGACAGGAATAAAATGCCATGTTATATTAAATGTGTATTATTATGTATTTATGTTATATTAGTTATTATTGTGTTTTGTGTATTTATGATCCTTAATAAAAGACCTTATTATTTGTATGATGTCTTGTTATTCAGGAAAACCTTGTTTTCTTCCTTATTATGAGTCATTTGGCATTCTCCTATCCCAGGACTTGGATTCTGTGTGTACCTCTGTCCAGCCCTTTTTCTGTTTCAGCAAAACATTTGTTTGTGCTTCTTTCCCCTCTTTGCCAACAGTGCTGTTGAGTTGCTCTCTTCCCCTTTATTAGGAAAAGCATTCTGCCTCTTCTTGATCACAAGCTAAAGCAACCAGAACTTTGGGCTTCGCAGTTATTTCTACATAAATACTATATTTTACTAATAATGCAGTCTGAAAAGCAAAATATGGAAAGCCAGCAGACTTTAGTTGGAAAGGAAAAAAGCAAAACAAAACACTTCTTCCCTTTTTCTCCTCCCACCCCCCAAACCAATAAATCCCCCACAAAACAAACAAGACAAAAATATCCAAAACAGCAGACTTGCTAAATGGAGGGTTTGGAGGTTTTTTTTTTCACCAAGATACATTTCAAATGTAAGGACACTCTTTTAGTAGTAGGGCACAAACATAAAATGGCTGAACACTTAAATTGTATTACTTAATAATGATATCTATTTCTGATAGTGAAAAGAAATAACTACCAAAACATTTGTGAAATCATGTTGCCTTTTTCCTCTAAATAAAATTTGTAGGCAATACTATTTAAAAATCCCCAAACTGTGTCTTAAATCTCTGGTCTGTGTTTTGATCCGTTTTGACAAACTGGCTGCATAGTGACTATGTAATACATTATTTGAATATTAAAATATGAATTTAAATTAGTAACTTCCTTCTGCAGAAATGACAAATTCTTGGCAGAATCAGGCAGATTTCAATCTCAGTAACTGAAATGGTCTGTTAAATTCCAGAGCAAGTGTAACGTGGAGGGGGGAAAACAATGCAGTCAACTCCAGCCACACCCATATGTCTGCACCCTGATTCTATTCTCCTTTTGGTATTTGTCTCTGTTTGCCTGGTTACCAGTTTGTATAAACTGTGCTCACATCTGGTATGTAGTTACTTTCCCGACATAGCTGAATGCAGAGATGCAGTACTCTGCAAAATGTTAATATAAAATTCCTTTTTTGCTATTTGTATTTTTCATCAAGATGGATATGGTCACTTGCAGCTTTCCCCATTATTTCTGAGTTCAGTGTGAAATAGTAGAGAGTTATTATGTGGTACTTCAATCTAACAGACTGTGGTTTTGTTTCTGTTTCAGTGGATGAAAGATATGTGGCGATCGGATCCCTGTTATGCAAGTTATGGTGTAGATGGGTCCACATGCTCCTTTTTTATTTACCTCAGTGAGGTTAGTAATCTATTAATCTGCAGAAGGGAAACATCATATTTTTGGTAACTGTTTGCAAACTTTTCTCAAAAGAAATCATAACTTTCTTCAGAAAAAAAAAATACGAGGAAAAAGCTATTAAAACAGAATTATTATGAAGTGTTTTGCTATTAAGTCCTCCAGGGGTTTCTAGCCTGGAGAATTCTAATATTTATAACTGAAGTGATGTAAGTAGCAATTCTCCAGGGAGTCCACACTGGGTATCCTGTTAAACCTAAGTATGAAGCTCAGTCATAGATTCTTGCCTCTGCACATTTTTTCTGTTGCTTTCAGTGCAGCTCCTAGGGTAGTAGTAGGGGGAGGCATTTTAGGGGGACATTTGGAATGTAAAATTTGGAAATTAGAACTAAATGAACAGTAGAACATTCTCTGAAGCAGCATGGCCACTTCCTGTTTGGAGACTGTTCATGAATTGCAGTCTGTTAACAGGAAACAAAAACGCCATGAAAGTCCCATTTTTTAATGAAGTAGCACATATATTGGCTAAAGCTTTTGGTACCTGTCAGAACCAAAAGCCCAGTTTCGTACACAGCTGAGTAAAGTTCATGCCCTGGTGGGTTTTTTTACAGATTCTGTTTCCTGTGTAACACTTTCTTTCCAAGAATGAATTTTGTCAATCAGTTATTATGAGCTCCATTGATGTCTCGTAGTGTTTGTGCCAGAAAGTCAGGTGTATTTGATGACTTGACCTCTTATTTCGTATTACTAAAGTTTTGATAACTTATGGCAGCTGATCTTGGAAGTAGTATTGAGCTTACTGTTTGTAAAGAACTGCAGGAGCCAGTATGGCTGCTGAATTGCAAACTGATATTAATTTTACAGTTTCTGCAGGATTGGGGCATGGGGCTGGGATTTTAAATTACATATCTGAGATTAAAACTATAGGTCTACTAGATAAGTAACTGTTATAATGAAGGCAGTTTCTGTTAATTTACTCAGTTGACTGTCATGAACATTTCTGGGGACACTGCTTGAAGCAGCAGTAATAGTTAAGTGCATATTCAAAACATGTATCTGAAGAAATAAAAAAGGCTGGGTTGAATCACGGGTTTGACTCACTCCAATGCTAGTGCCAAGTGTTCATCTGTTTATGGGCTATGAAACTGGGGAAGGAAAAGATACAGTATGACTGTATTATTTATCCTGTTATTTATCATAAAAGCTAGAGAGATGGTTTTGAAATAATCTGAAGTTGACTTGAGTTTCAGCTAAAAGGTTATGTTTTAGCATTAGTGGAGTTACATTTGTGCAGCCAGCAAGTGCTTTGTGTTTTTAATGCAGATGTATTTTAGAGATGAAGATACATGTCAGCTGAATGTGAGAATCTAATATTCTTAAATGACATCTGTTACTTTGTATTTCTGTATTAAAATCACAGCATCTTCTGTAACAATCTTCTCTGATAATCAGTTTTGAAAACTCAGTTGATGATCAGTTTAGCTCATCCTCATGGCAAAATTGAAGCAGATTTATAGAGGCCAAATGGTTGGTTTTTTCAAAGAGTCTAGGGATTTAAAATTTTTCTTTAAGCAGCCATACTGAATTTGGATAAAATTCTCATTTCATGATGGAACAACAGGACAATTAGTCTATGTGTATATTTACAAACTTCAAACAAGAGTCATGTACTTTTCTTTTATAAAGCGTTTTCCCATGACAGAATGTAAAAGTAATATTGGGTGAGCATGTTATTAACCTTGAGTTTAAATTTGGCATTCTTAATCCTATGATTAATGCCCAGCAGCAGAGGTTGAAAGCTTAAATGTTTGCGAATACAAGCATGAAATGAAATTCTAATAACACTACAACGATGGGGATTTATGAGGTGTGTTGGCTGCTAAGGATAACTTGGAAATGCTGTTGCGAGAGTAATTTGTCAAAGTGGACAATGATGAAGAGTTGACAGTTTATACTATGGTTGCTCAGCTGAATGATAAATGTGTCTACAGAGCTCTCAAGTTGAAACTGCTGATTTAAAATTTTAGAATGCATTAGGGTGCTGGGAGGATATTATGGTTAAGATTTTTCTACTTTAAACTTACAGTGTAGGAGTAAGATGGTTGTATACACATGGTTTGTTTGAAAAGGCAATATATACATCAAATTATGCACAACTTCTGTTTGAAAAGACAGAATATGCATCAAATTGTGTGTATGTCTACTTTTGCTCTTGAAACTGCCTCTTAAGATCTAGTGTAACAAGTGCCTGTGCTCTTTCATACTCTTTCAGGATCTACTTTTTTCTTCAGAAGGAGTTCAGTTAGGGTATTGTGTTACACTCACCTAGCACTCTTTGTAATGCAGTTTTAAACTTGTAAACAGAGCAGCCTGAAATAATACATTTTGGTGTGGAATATGGGTCAGGACCACAGAGATACAAAGTAATTTGTCCACAGTTTAGTCAAAGGTTTAGAAATAAAACCCAGTCTTTGGGTATCTGCTGTGTGCCTGTTTTGTTTCCACCCTGTGTGTCTGCAAAATAGAACAGCGCAGTCAAAATCCATGCTGCCCCAAGCGATCTCTTCTGAAGAGCCTGCACAAGTGCAAGTGTTAACAGTTCTGCCTCCTCTAGTTTTGCTTTGGATGGCACTCCTACAAGAACGCAAGAACTAGCTGAACAGCTCTTCTCCACTTCTTCTCTTGTGTCTTGGCTGCTTGAGCAGAATGGGAGGTGAGTGTGGCAGTAGAAGGAAAGTGAGAAGCAATCCAGCAATTCAGGCTTATGTTTTTTTTATTTAAAGCTGTCCCCTCTACAGACTTGCAGATAAAGCTGCAAGAGTTTTCACACTTCCATCTTGAAGTTTTGCTGAAGGCACTGGCTCACTCCTGGTGCATGATATGCAACTATGCAGTCCTCATAACACTAATTGTGCTGGAACCTTTGAAGACTGAAGGAGACAGAAATGGCCTGAATAGTTGTCGTGGTTTAAACCCAGCTAGACAGCTCATTCACTCACTTCCACCACTTCTTGTCCTCCACCTACTCCCGGAGGGACAGAGAGGAGAATTGAAAAGAATTCAACTCCCACGGGTTGAGATAAGAACAGTTTAGTAACTAAGGTATAACACAAATCACTACTGCTACTACCAATAATAACAATGATAAAGGAAATAACAAGGGAAGAGAATACAACACCTCACCACCAGCCGACTGATAACAGCCCAACCAGGCACCAACCGATACCTCCTCCAACCTCCCAGTCTCCTGGGCCTTCTGGGTAACACCCAGTTACATCCTGGGCATGACGTGCTGTGGTATGGAATACCTCTTTGGTCAGTTTGGGTCAGGTGTCCTGTCTCTGCTTCCTCCCAGCCTCCCCTCCTCCCTGGCAGAGCATGAGGCTCACAAAGTCCTTGGCCAGACCAAAACATCAGTGTTATCAGTTCTGTTCCCAGGCTGACAGTCAAAACACTGTACTGCACCAGCTACCAAGAAGTAGAAAAATGACTGCTACTGCTGAACTCAGGACAGTAGTAAAACCAGACTTATATTCTTTTAAATAACGGGGCAAGACAGGAATTAGAAGTAGCAGAAATTGAAAAGCAAGTTAAGCTAAGGTTTCTGGATAGTTGGGACTTGTTTCCATTTAACTGTGATACAAACTTGCCCATTGAAAAGAGTTGCTTCCTGTAAACTCAGCATTTAGTTATAAAAAAGACAGTTGTTTAACACTGTAATGTCACTGGCACAGTTATAATTTTCACAGATGGCATTGCCTCTGAGGAGAAATGTGAAAAAATTAATTTCTAGACAGTACAAAAATATATTTCACTGCAAAATGTCAGTTTGCAGCTGAAGAATTAAGCTTTTAAAAATATCTTCTAGCAAATGAACTTTTCACACTGTTTCCCAGCTTAAGGAAAGTGTAGGTGTCTTATTGCTCCTCTTCTTTATCTAGGCATGTGTTTTCTCTGAGGGCTTTCACTGCCTGCCACACAGGAGTGGAACTACTGCTGTGCTTGCTGGTCAGCCAGCAGCTGTGATGCAAGCTACCACTGCCCAGAGGTCACTACATGGATGCTTACCTGCTGGAGCTGGGCAGATCTTACTAAAATCCCAGTCTTTGTATCTCTAGTTGCCTTTCAGATGTAAGGGTAATTTTTGGTACTCATCTTGGAAGCGGATCCAACATTTCAAAAGACTAAAACAATTTCAGAGACCAATCTCTAAAGCTCCTGTAGCTTCTGAGTGTGTACTAGTATGCCATTAGAAAGAATTCTTGTTTTGAGTCCTTCAGACTTGATGGAAACAGAATCTATGGTTTCATTTCAGGAATATTTTTCTTTATGCTCTTTCTTTAGCTTTGAGGGATAAAGCAGAAAAATACAAACTGAAGGTGATTCTGAGTGTGGGTTTGTTTCTAGAAGGCAAGCTGTAGTCTGAGGCATACTTTAGTGAAAACACCTGGGAATCATAATTATACAGATTCCCCAAATCCTTGTGGGTTTGCTAGTTTAGTACCATTTGCTCACATCTGTGTGGAAGTCCCCTTTCCACAACTTTTGCTGCTTGTATAAGCTATTTTCTGATACTGGGGTGAGTTCATGATTTGCATTTCTTCAGTGTAGTGTAGCATTAAACCAGCTTCTTTGAATTCTGCTTAGAAAATTTACAAAAATAGTGTTGTCTGTAAAGCAGCAACAGTTTGAACTTCTTCAGTCATCCTGTGTAAGTCTCTAAGAAATTTAAATGCTAATGATAGCCAGCACTTTGTCCCCAGATCATCCATTAGTGTATTGGCCTGGATCTGGGTGATTTGGGCTTAGTTATCTTTTCTACTTCTGTCACTTTAAACTGGGATTAGTCTGATTTTTTGGAAAAGGCGTAGATGCTAGTGTAAGAGAGGAATCAAATTTTGTGTACATTACTGAAGTTAGGTAAGAGACCATTTGTTGATTGATGATTATAACATTTCATGTTCTGGCGTCACTGGGACTGGTACCTAACACCCAATGTTTGA